TTAAAGCAGCCACGGTGCGAGTAGACTAGGCCTGTCTCCTGCCAGCATCCTACAGAAAAAAAAACCCTACTTGTCTGGAAGCAGTGGTATCTATGCAGAGGCCTGACACTTCCTGTTTAGACCGAGCAATAGATCTGGCTCAGCAGGGGTAGGGTGATGGTGTAGGACCTGTGTAGAGGGGCCACTGCTTAACACAGAGAGCAAGGGGGATCTTTGAATCATACAGGCAGAAGACAGGCTTTTCTAATCAGGTTGTGGATGTTTTCTAAAGAAAATAACCTGTAAGACTTTAAGTGCTTTGAGTTTGATGCGCCTGGAACATATTTTGTGGATTTAAAAGGTTCAATTGGAATTGAAAAACGGTCTAAGCAATTCAAATGGAGTATATGCTAAAATACATACGTAGAATTCACCTTTAGGGAAAGCTGCATGCCAAAACAGAAAGATTTGGCAGCTTAAATGTTTAATGCTAGTTATAAGTGGCCTCAGCACAGTGCTGTATGCCAAGCTGGAGTTTTTCATTGCGCATATAAATGTTCATGTTCGTTGGAGAACATGATCTGCCCAAATAATTATTCATTTTAATAATCCAGTTAATCCTGACATTTTGCTGATGTGCATAAGCAAGGTGTTATTGTTCTGTAAAGATCTTAGCAGCAGAGTTTGTATATTCTATATAGGACATAGAATGTCAAACTAAATCTCCTAAATATAGAAAAAGATTTTCCCAACAATATATGTAGATCCAGGTTCAGACATCCATTCACCCATTATCCACAATATAAGAGAGAATTCCATGTTGCAGCCAAGTCCATGCAAAGTATCTCCGCCCAGATGAAAGGCTCACAGCAGAAACCTAGATGTCTGACATTTTACCTTGAGCTCTATACAGGCCTCTGGGAAAAGCCGTGAGTTAATCACACAGGCAGAAATTGAGATATCTGGGAGCATTCCGAGCACAGTATATATATGAGCCCACTGTTTCCATGGTTGCAAGGAAGAAAGATTTGGATTTTTTGCCAGTTTTAGAAACCGTTACCAGGTGCAGATTGGTGAAAAACGATTTAAAATAGCTTGGGTAGAGCTTATAGGCTATATTCATTCTTAGGGAAAGTGGAGATCTCCTTTAAACTTTGTTTCTAGCATGTTAGAATGGCAACTATAGAGACAGCAGACTCCTTGGCACCTAACCTTTTAATTCTACTATGGTAACAGACATCATAGAGGCGAACAAGTCTACAGTAGACCCTGGGCCCATGTCACACATTGCTTAGCAGGAAGGAAGGTTCTCACTAGCAATTTAAAATCTCAATTGAATGGGCTGCCCTCTGCACCTTTGTTGCACCAAAGAAGATCAGGGACCAAAATTTTGGCCTTGAGGCAGGCACGATTTTATAGGCGTTTTGTCACAGGCCACAATTGAACCGTCTTTGGGGGAATGGCACCCAAATGCGCATCTTGCCACGATTTGGGCACAGTGATTCTGCCCACAATTCCAAATTGCCTATATGTAAACAGGGACTTTAAGTGTATTTCCACTTTTGCAACCAAACTGGGATAACACCTACTTTATATTAGTAACTGGAAAGAACGTTGTAGAGCCACTCCAAGCAAGAGTATGTCCTCTTTCTTCATTGTCCTCAGGTGTAGGGGCGCTGGCAATCAAGTAGTCTCATCCAGAAATAGCAATCATGAACATCCAGAATGCCGCTTTTGCCGCCCAACCCATGCAGTGTGTTTATACAGCCTCAGCCATTGTTTCTCCACTGACCACGCCTCCACTGACATGTTTCACCCCTCACACCAGGGTTTAGTCATAACATCTATGACTAAGCCCCAGTAGGTGGGGCGAAATGCGTCAGTGGGCATGGTCAATGGACAAGCACTGGCTGAGACCATAACACATACTCTACATGGTTGGATGGGATGGATGCATACTTTATATTTATTATATTTTACATAGTATATTAAAAAAATTAAATTGTAGCTTTTCCGCCCGACCCATGCAGAGTATGTTTATACAACCTCAGCCACTGTTTCTCCACTGACATGTTTCCTCCCCTCACACCAGGGTTTAGTCATAACGTCTATGACTAAGCCCCAGCAGGTGGGGCGAAATGCATCAGTAGACATGGTCAATGGACAAGCACTGGCTGAGACCATAACACATACTCTACATGGTTGGATGGGATGGATACATACTTTATATTTATTATATTTTACATAGTATATTAAAAAAAATTTAATTGTAGCTTACCTTTTTAGGATACACTAGTCTGGAAATTCCAGGACTGATAATCCTACTTTGTTCTCCTCATTTATGAGGGAGCTGAGGGGCTGTGTTTACCATAATTAAAAAATAAGTTACCCCAACATTTTATAATCCTGATATGTGTCTTTTGTACCATATACGTATGTTAAAAATATCCTGTTATTTCTTACATTGCCTCTTTTGTGTGAAATAAGCAAGGCATGAGAGTACATCTATCTCAGTGTAGACAGTTTTCTGGCTGTGCTGGGAGAACAGCCTGCCTGTCCTCCACTGACCAGACATGCCCTCCTGCACATCCATTTACTAGAAAGTGAACTAGTGCTTGCCCATGCAGTCCAAAGTAGCAAGTTCACAAAACTGCTGCCCTCCCTAAGATCATATACGTACCTTCCCTTCACTTCCCCTGCTGTTCTAATTGGCTGATGGGAGTAAAGTGAGGATGCCATATGTAATCTGCAAGTTGCAACAGGGGTGAAGATGCTCTGCTTACTCCCATGTAACAGCATTGGATGCCTGAGAAGTTGATCACCAAGCATCAGTGCTATTACATGTGAGGAACGAGAATAAGTTGTGTTGTTCCCTGTGAGCAGACGTACCAGGTTTTCTTATTTATTTACAGCACCAACCGGAGCGACTGGGCAACTAAGACAATGTATGTGCAGCTGGTAAGGGCGGCAGTTAAATGAACCTGTTGCTTTACCCTGCATGTGCAAATATTCACTTGAACCACTTGGCAAATGACGGCTACAGCACAGACGGCCAGTTCTGGGAGAGCGTCTATGGACATCCTCCTGGCACTCCCTGTGTCCTTCAGACACAGCTGATCACAAATTACAGAAAAGGACCAATTACAGTGGCTATTTACCAAGGGATGAGCTGTGTCCAATCACAGCTGATCACGATGTAAACACACTTGCCAATTATTGGCAGTACTTTCCTCACCCTGTCACAGAATGAGGAAAGTACTGCCGATAACCGGTGTGAAAGGAGACATCTACACTGATAATCAGGGCCCTGATTATCAGTGCAACCCCAACAGTGCCCATCAGTGCTGCCTATCAATGCCAGTGTCCATCAGTGCTGCCAATCAGTGCCACCTATCCGTTTAGCCTCATCAGTGTGGCCTATCAGTGGCCATTAGGCGTGCCTGATCAATGCCCACCAGTGCAGCCTTATCAGCGCACATCAGTGGAGGAGAAAAATTACCTGTTTGCAAAATTTTATAATAGAATCTAAGAAAAATGTTTGGTTTTTTTTTAAAAATTTTTGGGTTTTTTCGTTTTTGCGTTTGCTTAACAAAAAATAAAAAACACTCAGTGGTGATTAAATACCACCAAAAAAAAAATCTTGATTTGTGTGAAAAAAAATGCTAAAAACGACAGTACAGTGTTGCATGACCGCACAATTGTCATTTAAAGTGCGACAGCAGTGAAAGCTGAAAATTGGCCTGGGCAGGAATGGGTTAAACACACTATCCACACCCACATTTTTATGGTACTTTACCAGTACTGCATTGATCAACAGAGGCTGTTAAAAATGCATCATCGTTTTATTGTTGTCCATCAGATGTATACTTTACATTTATATGTTCCAGACTTTCATCTTCCAGAAAAGATTAACAGTCATGAAGCGCGTTGACAAGCCCCACTACTGACAGCAAGAAAGGTGTATTTGTTGTTGGAACTGTGGATCTACCTTTAAAGTGACACTTAGGCCTGTCCACATCTGTACAGGGCACTGCCATTAAATTCTATTAGAATGCGTGTTTTCATGAAAGCGCATCAAAGTCCTGCATGCTGCATCTTTGATGCACTTTCATAAACGCACATTCTAATACTGTTTAATGAAACCAAGAAGAAACTGCTAATAATTGCGCTGCTCCTCTACCTCCCTCCAAAACTCTGAGCTCAAGTCCAACATATAGACAAAGTCCATCAACACAAGTGGTCTTACAGCTCTCCAAACTGCTACCAGGTGGCAGAAAACAATGTGAATGGCTCCAGTGCATGGCCCGCCACATACACAGCGGCCTGCATGCTACATCTGTCATCCCTTGCTGTACACTGTTTGCTGGGGGCTCTCGGTTGAACATCACTGTAGGAGAACTACTTTACCTGGTGGTTGTCACCGATATGGACATGGGAGAAGAAGTGCTGTTGTGATAAGCCCTTACCAAGTTCATTAATGTGAGTGCAATTCATTCATGTATTTGACACACTAGGGCGTTCATGCACTCTGGTTTTTTTTTCCGTATGAAGTGTTTATTGGCAGCGTACTTAAAACATGTATAAAATGCAACATAGAAAAAGCGCACCACACAGAGATAAATGGCGCCTTAATGTTTTTTTCCCCCAATGCTGGTGTATAGACTTACATTTAGTGATGCTTCTTGAGGTGTATATCTTTTCTTCTATTCAATCCAGGTTCTCCTCACAGGACTGGCGCTGTTGTCCAGCTGTTGGGTGACTCCATCTTTTTACAATGTCATACAGAGTCACCCTTGCAGTGTGCATCCATTCTTTGAAATTGCTTGAATGGCAAGCCGCTCCTGTGCCCTCAGTTCACACCATCCACCCTACCCTGAATTTGCGCTCTTCACCCTGAAGAAAACGATGGAGGACATGGTGATAATGTAAGTGTTGGGCACAGAGGAGGGTATTAAAATTGACTGAAGTGTTTCACTGCTTGGTAGCAATTTATAGCTTAAAAAAGGGGGTTTGGTACTACTTTAACCCCTTTGCGCCGGACCCTCCCGGCCCTTTAAGGGTTTCAGAAGCCAGGGCAGGGTTTAGGGTCATGTGACCGCCATCACATGATCGGGAAAGGTTCCGATCGAAAGAGATCAGGACTTTTCCATGAGTACTGGACCCCTTTGCGCTGGCCCCTCCCGGCCCTTTAAGGGTTTCAGAAGCCGGGGCAGGATTTAGGGTCATGTGACCGCCGTGACATGCCGCCACAAGATCGGGAAAGGTCCCGATCGAAAGAGATCAGGACTTTTCCGTGAGTACCGGACATGTGTGCTGGGAGCGTGCAGGGTGTGCGCTCTCAGCACATATGTTCTTTTTTTAATAGAACGCAAATGTGCAGCCACTCGGTGTCTGGGAGGCCGCACATTTGCGCACAGCCGGCGTGAAGAGGTTAATGTTGGGGCACGAGATGAAGGAAGTGTAGAAATAGCATGGTAGATATACACTCACCATGTGTATATCCACATGTGTCAATCACATGGAAGCAACTGAATGCATTTAGGCATCTAGATGTGGTGAAGGCGACTTTCTGAAGTTCAAACCAAGCATCAGAAAGGGGATTTAAGTGACTTTGAATGTGGCATGGGTGTTGGTGCCAGACGGGCTGGTCTGAGTATTTGAAAAACTGCTGACTGGGATTTTCACACACAACCATCTCTAGGGTTTACAGAGAATGGCCTAAAAAATAGAAAATATCCAGGAGTGGCAGTTGTGTGGACGAAAATGCCTTGTTGATGTTTGAGGTCAGAGGAGAATGGACAGACTGGTTCGAGATGATAGAAAGACAACTGTAACTCAAATAACTACTCATTACAACCAAGGTATGCAGAATACCATCTCTGAATGCACAACACATCAAACCTTGAAGCAGATGGGCTACAGCAGCAGAAGATCACACTGGATGCCGCTCCTGTCAGCTAAGAACAGGAAGCAGAGGCTACAATTTGCACAGGCTCACCAAAATTGAACAGAAGATTGGAAAAAAGTTCCCTGGTCTGATGAGTCTCGATTTCAGCTGCAACATTCAGATGGTGGGGTCAGAAATTGGCGTAAACAACATGAAAGCATTGATCCATCCTGCCTTGTATTAACAGTTCAGGCTGGTGGTGGTGTAATGGTGTGGGGGATATTTTCTTGTCACACTTTGTGCCCCTTAGTACCAACTGAGCATTGTTTGAACACCATGACCTACCTGAGTATTGTTGCTGACCATGTCCATCCCTTTATGACTACAGTGTACCCACCTTCTGATGGCTACTTCCAGCAGGATAAGGCACCATGTCCCAAGGCTCAAATCATCTCAAACTGGTTTCTTGAACATGACAATGCATTCACTGTACTCCAATGGCCTCATAGTCACCAGATCTCAATTGCAATAGAGCTCCTTTGAGATGTTGTGGAACGGGAAATTCATATCATGGAAGTGCAGCCAAAAAATCTGCAGCAACTGTGTGATGGTATCATATCAATATGGACCAAAATCTCTGAGGAATGTTTCCAACACCTTGTTGATTCTATGCCACCAAAAATTAAGGTAGTTCTGAAGGCAAAAGGGGGCCTAACCCGGGACTAACAAAGTGTACCTAATAAAGTGGCTAGTGAGTGTATATCAGTGCTCCATATTTTTTTAATTACTTACAGTTTTTTAACGATGGTCCACAATGAAAAAAAAAAAAAATCTGTTAATACATGTGGTATCAGCAAAGTTCAAAAAATTGTTCTTTTATAAAGGGATGTTGGCATTCCAAAAATTGTGAAGTGCCACTTACTTGTATGTTTTCTATTTTCTTCACTTTAAACAGAACACTTTAAAAAAATATGAAAACTTCTTTTTAAATAAAGGACAGTTTCAACCCCCCTACTACCTTTCCCCTTTTATAGTATGCTTACCATTGAGAGCTATTGTGTATTAAAATGAGTCTACTCTGTGAAAATGTCTGCTTTCTTAATAACAAAGCGAAGATTTAAAAACAAAACAAAAAAACAACAAAAAAAAAACCACAACAGATACCATCAGCTCTTTTGGTCCTCATATATTTGACCACAGCATTGAAGGTGAAATATAAGACCTAATCACAGTCATTTTACATGTGAAAGATTGAAAGATTCTATGGCAGAACAACAGAATAATTCAAGCACCTACCAAGCACACATCTGAAAACATGAAGACCACTCACACAACTCTTCTCACAAACACAAGCACCGGTCTTCCTCTACACTCAACAAGCGTGAGGTGTACATCGGACATTTAAAACACAAAGGCAAAGCCTTTTTTTTTTTTTTTTTTTTTTTTTTTTACATAGGCTCAGTACAAATGGTGCATGCCACTTCCTTCCTGTAACAGATGTACAAAAAATAAATTGTGATCAGACAACACGTTTGACTTTACATTACAAGTGGTCTCAAATCCTGAAAAAATGTGAATGATATTGAACATGCAAACGTGATAGCATCATTTAGGAAAATATTCGCACCCAGGATTTAAAATGTACGCAATCTTAGACACAAAACATACTGAAGGCATCCTATTTATGAGCTGAACCAGTAACCTCATTGCTGGCATCATTATTTACATATGACATGACCCTTATTTATCAAACCGCCTGAAACAACAAATTGCTGATTATTCCATATGTCAGGTCTTCTTTCAAACTCTACAACTGCACTTGATCACCTTTACAGTCATCTGTTTAATCTCGGATACAAGTTATTTTTAAAGGTCTAGCAGCTCATAGTTAGTCTGGCTGAAAAGAGACAAACGGCCATCCAGTTCAACCATAGAAAAATAAAAAGTTATAATCCTATGCCCATAGTTGATCCAGAGGAAGGCAAAAAAAAAAACAGATTATGCAATTTTCTTTTGGTGGAAGGAAAGAAAATCGCTTGATTCCCCCATTAAACACAGTCAGTGTTGATAGGGGAATCCTTACTGCTGCACTATGAAACAATGATTACTGCCGGAAGCTATAGCCACCAGCAGTAATCACGTGATAGAACTCAGACAGGGTGGTTGTAATGAAGTCAATTACTCCCTTCACGCTGGATCGTGCCGGCGTGAAGAGGAGTTCCTGTGCTGGGAGGTGGGTGGGACGGGGCGGGTCTTAGTGTCATGTGGCCGCTATGACGTCACGACCGGTCACATGATCGGGAAAGGTCCCGATCAAAAGAGCAGACCAGGACCTTTCCGTGAGTACCGCACGTGTGTGCTGGGAGCGCGCAGGGCGCGTGCTCTCAGCACATATGTTTTTTGTTACATGAACGCAAATGTGCGGCCGCTCGGCGTCTAGGCCCAGACGTAGGGAGGCCACACATTTGCGTGCGGCCGGCGTGAAGGGGTTAATGGATCGACTTCAGTCCAACTAGCCTGCTCATAGATCTATGGCCTGCTTTAGTCTACATTCACACAGGTGAATATGAACAGACAGAACATTCCTGCGGCAGGAATCACAGGTATATGATAACAAATGCAGCCAGGAAACCTGTACAAATGAATGACAGGCTGACAGCGGCTCCATCTGTCTGCAGGTAAGCACACATGGAGCAGTCTGCGGCTAGGGGCAGATAATCATCCCTGGATACATAAAGATTGTGTACAGGACTGATCATCTGTCCCAAATCACAGATAACTGATCCATGCATGATTATATGCGTACAACCCGTCAGTCATTTGTAAAGGCTTCTCCACTGCAGCTGTTTGCCTACACCTTTGATTTATGCCACTGGAATCCGCTCTCCACTCACATTTACCCATGTGAATGTAAACTGGCCACACAATTTAAGATCTGACTGAACAATCTACTGTAAGCCCTGGTTCACATATATGCGGCCGTACGGCACGAGAGCCCATTCATTTGAATGGACTCCCGTGTCCCCCGGGACACGCAGGGAAGAAGTCCCTGCACTTCTTTGGAAACTGCAGCCGCACGGGAACCTCGGTTCCCAGCGTGGTTTGCAATTTCCAGTGCGAGCGGCGTGCCATTAAAAGTAATGGCACCTGCCCGCGGGTCCGAATTTTTCTGTGTGGGTGGTGAGGCTGCACGGATTTTGTGCGGATCTGCAGCGGCACCACCCGCACATATGTGAACCTAGCCTAATAGAATTATATGAAAGTATCCTAGTCAACAAAACCTTAGTAAATGTGATCAACATAAAACAAATGTAATGTTTGTATAGTGATTTATACCAAGTTTAGATTTAAAGAAACTTTTTGAACTTACTAACTGCAGTCTCATACAAAGTTTATGCACAGACTGGATCGTAGACGAGCCCACATTTTATTCTCTGCGCAATCCAAAGTTAGTGGATTGTACAATTCGATTTTAACCTCTATGACCAGATCACTGGTGAGAAGAAGCATGTGTGCCATAGATCTATCTTCCACAGTTCTGGGACTGTTAACAGCCAGTCTGCCACTGCTGTGTATCTTCTAACTGCCTGGTAGTTTGCTGGTATATCTGGCAACCTACAAATAAAAGGCTTGTGCCTGAGATCCAGACCCAGAGAGGATGCATTCTCCCCTTAGCATTGTATGTCCTAAGGGGGAGCAGTTAAAAAAAGACAATCCAATCAGCATGCATTTTGTTGCTCTTCGACTAAGACACGTCCCCCCCCCCCTTTTTTTTTACAACACCGTCTCAGGTGTCACCGTCTCTTGCTTTATAAGTGAATGGGGAGTCTGTATAGCATGTACTACACCATACCTTAAAAAAAAACCCACAACATTGCAATAATGCATGTGAAAATGAAGTGCCATCACAATACAATGGCAAACAGAAAACAAATGAATTAGCATCTTCAGTCTGCAGAACATCAAGATCACAGAGTTGATAATGTAAGATTCCATTTAGTCCATTTTCTGCAGCAACGGCTTTAATAAACATTGCCACAACACTCTGTAAAAAGTGGTGACAAGGTAAAGCTGGCAGCATGTGGTGGAGGCACTGAACATGACGGGTGGAAATTCTACATCTCCTCACTGCACACACAGACTGTATCCCAAATTCTCCTGCCAGCCAATCAAAGTTCAAATGCAGGGAAGCGTGAAGTCTCTGGTGTCAACACGTCTGAAAGGAAATGAATAGCTCCAGCCATTCCTGAAAAGAAGCAAAAAGAAACTCTAATTTACCTTTAGAAAGGGGAAGGGATGCGTGAAGAAACTACTGGGCTACCTACAAGCACTTTATGACAGCATATTCGAGTTTTATGATCCAGGAAGGTTTAATGTTTTTTAGAAAATTATAATTATTAAAAATCTGCATTAGTCACAGAGTCCGAGGCATAAAAACTGCAATACAAAAAAATATTGTTATTCCTTAAAGGAAAAGTGCACATTCAATTCTTTACTCCAGTTTGTCCTCGTAGCCTGCACAAATAATTCACTTAGCTGTTTTGCTGATATTAGAATTTCCAATACGGGTCTCCAGTTTGTAAATTGCCTGTTTAAAACAATCTCTTCCTATGCGCTGTTCCGAGGGAGCTAAGGGAATAGGACACTCCCTATTGGGATAAATGAGCAATTTGGCTTTTATTTCCTTCAGCTCCCTCTAGTGTTGGCCAGGAGCAGTTGCTGCAGGAGGAGAAGATGTAAACATACTGTTTCCAGCCTGTAGGGACTGTGCCTAGAACGCCTGCAAATATTATTGGCAAAACAGGTAGCCCTTAGAAATTTAATGCAGAAAATTTAGAAGAAAAAGTGATGAAATTGCACTTATTCCTCCCTCTCAAAATCTATAGAACGTTCCCCTGCATGATAACCCATGCTGGGTATATGTTTATAAACATCTCCCTTGGGAGTCACCAGACTACACTTTTCGGCTCCTGGCTGTTGTTGACTGCTTGGGTCCCCACTGACAATTAGGAACCAATCAGAGTGGTTCCCAATCATCTGATCACTTTGAAAGCTATGTCATAGTGATCTCATACAGGTTGGAGGCTTCATAGAGAAATTGAAAGCCTCCAGCCTGTAGATAAACACTGCCACCTTCAGGCTTCAGTGGCATCTGCAGTTCAATATATCCAATACTTGTAACAGTAATTATACAACAGTTATATACTGTATTATTACTTACAATAAAAAAGGAAAGATACCCTTAAAGATAGAAACAAACATTTTTTGCATTTTTCAATGTATGATAAAATAAAAACAGAGCGGGATTTTTTATATAATCCAAAGGTTGCCATTGCACACATTATCAGAGATAAAAAATGAGGCCGGGTGTGCAGCAAAGTGTGTAATATAATCCAAAAGAGAGAGTGGCACTCACAGGTCTTCAGTGGTCAACACACAGTGAAGGTTTTATTTTGAGGAGGCACAAATTTGTCATTCTCAGGAGGACGAGCAAATGACTCATTGACTTAAAATCTTCACTCTATGTTCACCACTCAAGATCCGTGAATGCCGCTCTCTCTTTTGGATTTCAGAGAGTTCTTTGGCATGAGGTGCCATGTTGAACTTCCAGTGACCAGTATGATAGAATGAGAGCAATAACACCAAATTTAACACACCTGCTCCCCATTCACACCTGAGACCTTGTAACACTAACGAGTCACATGACACCGGGGAGGGAAAATGGCTAATTGGGCCCAATGACATTTTCACTTAGGGGTGTACTCACTTTTGTTGCCAGCGGTTTAGACATTAATGGCTGTGTGTTGAGTTATTTTGAGGGGACAGCAAATTTACACTGTTATACAAGCTGTACACTCACTACTTTATATTGTAGCAAAGTGTCATTTCTTCAGTGTTGTCACATGAAAAGATAGAATACAATATTTACAAAAATGAGATACTGTGTATGTATATATATATATATATATATATATACATACACACACACACATATATATATATATATATGTATATATATACATATATATACACAAACAACATTAAATTGTTGTCTGGGCTACTAGGTATCAGTGACCTGAGTCTTGAAAGGGGTAATAGATTAGCATAGTAACAGCTGACATTTGTTCTGTTGCTGTGGACTACACCTCCACTTCTCTGTGTTTAGGCAGATGTATGAAAAATGTAGTCACAAACAACTTACAATACCAGGCAACTTTCTCAAATGAGGTCATCGTTTGGAGCCCATCATGAACCCTCCATATAAAAAGATTCTGAGAGCTTGCCAACTGAAAACATTCAACTCAAGCTTATAGTTTACCTTCAAAGAGAGAGTATGGTCTGTCCGGGATTCGGCATCCATGTTTACCATAATCTAAACACCACTCTGCAAACTGAAATAGAGAAAAAATTATCACACATGGGACTGGAGATCAGTAATAAATCACAAAAATCACATTTGGAGGTTCTGCCAATTTTCAATTATTTCCAGTTTTTTTGCAATGTGCTAGAACCCATTTTCCTGTAAGGCACAATGACGTCACTTTCACCCCCCTGAAGCAGTCAGCAGCTGGGGTAATATATACATATATATATATATATATATATATATATATATATATATATATATATATATATATACACACACACACAGTTGTGTTCAAAATAATAGCAGTCAGACATCACTAACCTGATCAATCACTGTTTGTGTTAGAAATGATATTTCTACATGGCAAATAATTTACTAGCAGATGTAGTAGAGTAATAGAAATCCAACAGACCCAACAGTCATGACATGCATGCTGCTGATTCTGTGTAATTGAATCACTAATTGAAAGGGGCATGTTCAAAATAATAGCAGTGTGGAGTTCTATTAGTGAGGTCATTCATTCTTTGAAAAACAGGTGGCAATTATTGCCCTTATTTAAGGAAGGAAGGCAGCAAATGTTGAACATGCTGGTTACAGTGCATTTCTCTCTGAAATTCTGAGGAAAATGGGTCGTTCCAGACATTGTTCAGAAGAACAGTGTACCTTGATTAAAAAGTTGATTGGAGAGGGGAAAACATACAAAGAAGTGCAGAAAATGATAGGCTGCTCAGCTAAAATGATCGCAAATGCTTTAAAATGGCAACCAAAACCTGAAAGACGTGGAAGAAAGCGAAAAACTACCATTCGAATGGATAGAAGAATAGCCCAAATGGCAAGGACTCAGCCAACAATAAGCTCCAGGAAGATCAAAGAAGGTCTAAAGTTACCTGTGAGTACTGTTACAATTAGAAGATGCCTATGTGAAGCCAAGCAAAGTCCCACTGTTGAAAAAAGACGTGCTGAAGAGGTTACAATTTGCCAAAGAGCACATTGACTGGCCTAAAGAGAAATGGCGCAACATTTTGTGGACTGATGAAAGTAAGATTGTTCTTTTTGGGTCTAGTGGCCAGAGACAGTTTGTCAGACGACCCCCAAACACTGAATTCAGCCACAGTACACTGTGAAGACAGTGAAGCATGGTTGTGCAAGCATCATGATATGGGGATGTTTCTCATACTATGGTGTTGGGCCTATTTATCGAATACCAGGGATCATGGATCAGTTTGAATACATCAGAATACTTGAAGAGGTTATGCTGCCTTATGCTGAAGAGGAAATGCCCTTGAAATGGGTGTTCCAACAAGACAACGACCCCAAACACACCAGTAAACGTGCAACATCTTGGTTCCAGACCAACAAGATTGACGTTATGGAGTGGCCAGCCCAATCCCCGGATCTTAATCCAATAGAAAACTTGTGGGGTGACATCAAAAATGCAGTTTCTGAGGCAAAACCAAGAAATAGAGAAGAACTGTGGAATGTAGTCCAATCATCCTGGGCTGGAATACCTGTTCACAGGTGCCAGAAGTTGGTTGACTCCATGCAACACAGATGTACAGCAGTTCTCAGAAACAGTGCTTATACAACTAAATATTAATGAAGTGATTCAAAGGAAAGCAAAATCTTCAAACATTTTTCAGTTTATATAGTGAATGTTTGAGTTTGTAAAGAAGAATACAAACACTGCTATTTTTTTGAACAGTCTAATATTCACTTTTCTTCAATTTTTTTTAGAGGAACAACACAAATTTGATATATTTTTCTTCATGTTTTGATTTGGAATAGAATGTGTAGTGTTCCCAATGCATTTGTGTGTATGGAAATAAAAGCTATTAGAAGGATTTTGAGCTTTTTATTCGCTTTTTTCAACACACACTGCTATTATTTTGAACACAACTGTACATAGATTCATACACACATAGTTAGGTCCATATATATATTTGGACACAGGCACAATTTTTATACTTTTGGTTCTGTACGCCACTAGAATAAATAAAACAAAACAATCCAAATGAATTCGAAGTGCAGACTTTCAGCTTTAATTCAAGGGGTTGAACATAAAAATCAAGTACAAATTTTAGGGACTGCAACCATTTTTTATACAGTCCCTCCATTTTCAGGGGCTCAAAATGTAATTGGACAAATGAATTTAGTCATAAATAAGATGTTCATTTGTAATATTTTGTTGAGAATCCTTTACTGGCAATGACTGCCTGAAGTCTAGAACCCATGGACATTACCAAAGACTGGGTTTCTTCCTTTCTGATGCTTTGCCAGGCTGTACCTGCACCTGTCTTCAGTTCTTTGTTTGTGGGTCTTTCTGCCTTCAGCAAGTGAAATGCGTGCTCAATTGGGTTGAGATCAGGTGATTCAGATGGCATTGCAGAATATTCTACTTCTTTTCCTTCAAAAGCTCCTGGGTTGCTTTTGCAGTGTGTTTTGGATCAATGTCCCTCTGTACTGTGAAGCGCTGTCCAATCAACTTTGCTGCACTTGGCTGAATCTGGGCTGACAGTATATCTCTAAACACTGCAGAATTAATCCGCCTGCTTCTGTCACATCATGAATAAACACCGATGACCCAGTGCCACTGGAAACCATGCATGCCCATGCCATCAAACTGCCTCCAACATGTTTTACAGAAAACACTGTGTGCTTTGGATCATGAGCTGTTCCAAGCCTTCTCCACACTTTTTTCTTCCCATCATTCTGGTACAGATTAGTCTTAGTTTCATCTGTCCAAAGAATGCTTTTCCAGAACTGGTCTGGCTTTTTTAGATTTTTTTTGGCAAAGTCTAATCTGGCTTTTCTATTCTTCAGGCTTATGAATGGTTAGCACCTTGTGGTGAACCCTCTGTATTGCTTGCTCTCGTGAAGTCTTCTCTTGATTGTAGAGTTTGACAATGATACACCCACCTCCGGGAGAATGTCCTTCCCTTGTCTGGATGTTGTAAATAGGTTTTTCTTTATCATAGAGAGGATCCTGCGATCATCCACCACTGTTGTATTCCATGAATGTCCATGCATTTTTATGTTGCTGAGCTTACTAGTGCGTCCTTCTTTCCTCAGAATGTACCAAACTGTTGATTTGGCCACTCCTAATGTTGCTGCTATCTCTCTGATGGATTTGTTTCGTTTTTGAAGCCTTACAATGGCCTGTATCACTTGCATGGACAGCTCCTTTGAATGCATGATGTAGGTTTACAGCAATAGATTCCAAATGCAAATACCACACCTAGAATCAACTCCAGACCTTTTACCTGCTTACTTGATGAATAAATAATGGAGTAGCCCACACCTGGCCATGAAGCAGCTTTTGATGCAAATTTTCAATTACTTTTGGTCCCCTGAAAAAGGGGGGATGGCTACTCTTAAGAGCGGTAATTCCTAAACCCTTCCTCCAATTTGGATGTACATACCCTCAAATTAAACCTGAGAGTGTGCACTTTCTGCCCATATCCATTATATAACTGCAGCTTGAATATGTTTCTGTAAATGAAAAGTGTGTGTGTGTGTGTGCGTGCGTGTTTTCAAACAAACTTTATTTTTTAATGTGTTTGGACATGAGAAAAGCAATCCTTCCAAATTAATAAAAATAGTGAAACATTTTATAATATATAGGTTGTGAAATGAAACTGGGAGCAACGGAACGTGGGAAAGGAACGCCTAAAAAGCAGCTTGCTATGGGAAATGGTACCTGCACATCAAATTACAGAAATATAATATATATATGAACATAATTATAAGATAAAAGTAGTCTAGTATAGAAAATATACTGCACAATCAACACAGAGAGTGATCTCATCCGCTATTGATCAGTGATATGTTGTGTGCTACATCTGAGCAAATGAAGAATATAACGTGAAAGTCATAAACAGACCCCTACCTTACTTTATTATGCATGCCTTGTCGTATCTGGCCTGCACTTTGATGCTCTGGTAGCTGAAGGGAAATGTGCTGCATTTTTAATATTCTGGTGCTAGCTGTGAATAGGTTAATGTAGCTCCATTTCAAACAGCGACTACAAAAGCTGGAATTTTTCAGACCCAAATGTACCATGAAAGATCTGGATTTCCCTGAAGAGTTATTGCCTTGATCATAAAATATATTGTATGAGCTCTGAGAGGCCATTTACATCTGCCAGGCAGCCCTGAAATGCCTCGGAGCAGCAAAACATTTAGATAGTCATTGCAAATTGCGGTGTTTGGGCACCCTAGAGGATACGAACCATAGGTCAAGTGCATGGAGCTTTTAGAACTAGAGCATAGATACAAACAGGCGTTTTCACACCTATGTAGCTTTTAGAAGGGCAAGTGTGACACTAGAGTAAGGTAACAAATGTATGGAAATTCAGACCTATCATGCAGAATTAAAGTGGTACTAAAAGAATAAGCTTTTTTTTTTTATATACCAAATACATCAATCTTCAACAATTGGATCTGGACAAAAATAGATTTTGTTTTTGTATCACAATGCCACTTTAGACCCACATTGTCATCAGCATGTTGAGTGTGGCAAAGTGGTGCAACCCTTTAACAGGGTGTCCCTATTGGAAGATTTCCCCTCAACTCCTATTGTGGTGACAACTGTAAAATTTTGGACATCCGCTCAGTTTCTGTCATGGTCACAAAGAGTTAATCTCTCTAGCAGGGCCACAGACAGCAATAATACCCTGACAAGGGTTCTAACCCTCTATATCAGGGGTGGGCAACTGTGGCCCTCCAGCTGTTGTAGACCTACAAGTCCCATGAGGCATTGCAAAACTGACAGTTACAAGCATGACTCCCAAAAGTAGAGTCATGATGGGACTTGTAGTTCACCAACAGCTGGAGGGCCACAGTTGCCCACCCCTGCTCTATACCATTTGTCTCCAAACTGCGGCCCTTTGCTTGCTTTTATCGGACCCTTGGGACACTATTTCATCCACTGATACCAACAATGAGGCATAATTCCCCCCCCTGACACCAAACTAAGGGGCACAATTCCTCCCAATGACCACAACGATGGGGTACAATTCCTCCCATTGACAACAACAATGGGGCACAATTCCTTCCAAAGACAACAACGATGGGGTACAATTCCTCCCAATGACAACGACGGGGTACACTTCCTCCCAATGACAACGATGGGGTACAATTCCTCCCAATGGCAACAACGACAGGGTACAATTCCTCCCAATGACCACAACGACGGGGTACAATTCCTCCCAATGACCACAACGATGGGGCACAATTCCTCCCAATGACAACAACGATGGGGCACAATTCCTCCCAATGACAACGATGGGGCACAATTCCTCCCAATGACAACAACGATGGGGCACAATTCCTCCCAATGACAACAACGATGGGGCACAATTCCTCCCAATGACAACAACGATGGGGCACAATTCCTCCCAATGACAACGATGGGGCACAATTCCTCCCAATGACAACAACGATGGGGCACAATTCCTCCCAATGACAACGATGGGGCACAATTCCTCCCAATGACAACAATGATGGGGCACAACTCCTCCCTATGAAAACAACGATGGGGCACAATTCCTCCCAATGACAACAACGATGGGGCACAATTCCTCCCAATGACAACAATGATGGGGCACAATTCCTCCCAATGACAACAACGATGGGGCACAATTCCTCCCAATGACAACAACGATGGGGCACAATTCCTCCCAATGACAACAACGATGGGGTACAATTCCTCCCAATGACCACATCGATGGGGCACAATTCCTCCCAATGACCACAACGATGGGGTACAATTTCTCCCAATGACAACGATGGGGTACAATTCCTCCCAATGACAACAACGACGGGGGTACAATTCCTCCCACTGACAACAACGATGGGGCACAATTCCTCCCAATGACAACAATGATGAGGTACAATTCCTCCCAATGACAACAACGATGGGGTACAATTCCTCCCAATGACAACGATGGGTCACAATTCCTCTCAATAACACCAACAACGGGGCACAGTTCCTCCCACTGACGCAACCAATAGGTTGCAATTCTTCCCACTGACACCAAAAGTGGGGCACTATTCCTCCCACTGTCACTAAAGACGGGGCATTGTCTATTCCCACTGAAGTCGGGACATTTTCTACTCCCAATGGCCACAGTTTGGCCCCCCTAAAGTCTGAAGGCCAGTAAACTGGCCCCTTTGTTTAGAAGGTTTGGAGACCCCTGCTCTATACAAAAACAAAAGAAGGAGGACAGCAAACACTCCTATTATAATTCATACAGGTGGTATATATTGAAAGGTACAGCATTCGCATCAGAGGAACATTACCTTGCAGGCTCTGTAGAGATATTTCCTGTCCTGAGTGTGGTGATACAGAGACAGGAATGCATAGCCATTCCCTGAGGTTCCATGACAGATGCCATATCCTTTCCGTAATAATCCTCTCTGCCAGATGACATCACTGCTTTCCATGGCATCTTTCAAGTACTTCTCGTCTTTAAAAAGCTAAAACAAAAATGTAATTGGGGTTACACTTTCAAGTAAAGTTAAAACAATATACTTTGAAGTTAAAGCCGTAAAAAAACAAAATCAAAATGTAATATATCACAGCTTACCAATCATTAGATGTGGTGGCTGCATTTGTTTTCTTTTTTTAGGCTTTTTCGCCTCTGTTTTCACCTGATGATCTGGCCAGTAACACACCTTCTGTTTTAGAGTGTCTACACTCTGGAATCAGGGAGCACAGGGGCACCTTGGACAGGAGCAATGTCATTCTGGGGGGGAGGGGGGATTGTTAGATATACTAGCAGATTTAAATACACTAACAAACTGAAGCTGAACTCCAGCTCACACTTTATAAACAGTTACAGCAGTTTTTTTTTCTTTTGGGAGAAAGGTTTTACATGAATAAATAAAAGTTGTAAGCACTTGATATATCTATAAAAGGTTTTGTTCTTTTGAAGAAAAAAAAACAGACTTACTGGCCAGAACAGCAGATGAAAAAGAAAGCCTAAAAGGAAAACAAGTGCAGTCACCACAGCTAAGAATTGGTAAGCTGCAATATAATAAATGTTTGCTCTTGCTTTTAAATACTACTTTACCACTAAGTTAAAGTTTCTGCTAAATATTACAAGTCACAGTCTTGGCTGCGTATGTGGACTGGCAGGTGGGACGGGTGTGATAAAGTATCCCCACAAAATCTACTGTCCCTCAAAAGTAGCTGCCAAACAAACTTTTCTAACATTTCCCTCTGCAGTGAAGTAGTGTGCGTTTATTTCTCTGCCGTTGGGTCACAGAGTAATACTGCGGTGGCATTTTGTGGTAGAGATTGAATAGATCTGGCCTCCTGACCAGCTCAGTCAGTCCCCAGCAGAGTGATGCATACCCTCCATCTCTCAGACTTTGCACCAAGCAGGTAAGCAAGTGCAATGAAGTTTGTGCTACCCATGTCCCGACTGCCTATGTTCTTTATTACAGTGAGTCTACAACCGATGCAACCAAGTTCCAATTGACTCATCCAGTATTGCTGCTGGAGGGATTTATTGTTGCTTGGTGGTCTATTGTTGCTGCAGGGGAGTCCATAAAAGGGGCAGCGCTGGGAGGTTGGTGGTGGTGGAGACAAGAGGCAATGCTGGGAGGTGGAGACAAGGGGCAATGCTGGGAGGTGGGTGGTGGTGGAGACAAGGGGCAATGCTGGGAGGTGGGGTGGTGGTGGTGGTGGAGACAAGGGGCAATGCTGGGAGGTGGGTGGTGGTGGTAGAGACAAGGGGCAATGCTGGGAGGTGGGTGGTGGTGGTGGAGACAAGGGGCAATGCTGGGAGGTGGGTGGTGGTGGTGGAGACAAGGGGCAGTGCTGAAAGGTGGGTGGTGGTGGAGACAAGGGGCAGTGCTGGAAGGTGGGTGGTGGTGGAGATAAGGGGCAGTGCTGGAAAGTGGGTGGTAGTGGTGGAGACAAGGGGCAATGCTGGGAGGTGGGTGGTGGTGGTAGAGACAAGGGGCAATGCTGGGAGGTGGAGACAAGGGGCAATGTTGGGAAGTGGGTGGTGGGTGGTGGAGACAGGGGGCAGTGCTGGGAGGAGGGTGGTGGCGGAGACAAGGCGTAGTGCATGGAGGTGGGTGATGGTGGTGGAGACAAGGGGCAATGCTGGGAGGAAGGTGGTGGAGACAAGGGGCAATGCTGGGAGGTGGGTGGTGGTGGAGACAAGGGGCAGTGCTGGAAAGTGGGTGGTAGTGGTGGAGACAAGGGGCAATGTTGGGAGATGGGTGGTGGTGGCAGAGACAGGGGCAGTGCTGGGAGGAGGGTGGTGGCGAAGACAAGGGGCAGCGCAGGGAGGTGGGTGGTGGAGACAAGGGACAGTGCTGGGAGGAAGAGGGTGGTGGTGGTGGAGACAAGAGGTAATTCTGGGAGGTGGGTGGTGGAGACAAGGAACAGTGCTGGGAGGAGGAGGGTGGTGATGTTGGAGACAAGGGTAATTCTGGGAGGTGGGTGGTGGAGACGGTGCTGGAAGGAGGGTGGTTGTTTGCTGCATGGTGGTTAATATTTGCTGGTGTCCATATTGGCTGCTGGTCATTTGGAGGATTGTGGAAGGTTTCCCATTTGTCTTTATTTTGGTCTTTCTTTGATCCCCAATTTATGAGCATTGTGGAGGTGGAGGAGGCGATTTAAAGTCATATACCTTTAAGGAGACCGGGATCATTGATTGCTGCATATTATGGAGAGGAATCTTTTGTTTGCCCTGTGAGTGGAATTCATCCGGCTGAGGACCATCCAGCTACCTTTATGCTCCCTTGTGGGTCGCAGTTTGAAGGTGAGCGCGCATGCTAGGCGGTGAAGGATCATTCGCTTGTTTTGTGATCACTGTTGGTTCACGTGTTTGAAGTTACACATATTATCTTGATTGGAATATCGTTTTATACAAAAATATGTTGCCCAGCACTTGGGACTTTCATGCGTTTGGGATTGTTTTTATTTTTTAACATTTTTTTTACCTACATCATTGGGGTTTTTTGTCCCTATTTTTTCAAATTTTATATTTATATTTTTGGGACATTTATGTTTATATATATTCTTCCTATATACCAATGACCAATAGGTCACATTGGTTGGTGTCACAATTTTAACACAATTTCTGGTAGTGATTAATTCACTGCACTATTGTTGTTGTTTGTCACATTTATTCTATGTTACCACAGTTTGTGATTTCTCTTTATATTTCTTATTACGTGGATTTTTTTACTTCACATTTGAGTTGTTCCTTTTATGTCACTTTTACCTTTAGTATATGCTGGAGGGTGATGGTGGTGGAGACAAGGGGCAATGCTGGGAGGTGAGTGGTGGAGGCAAGGGGAAACGCTGGAAGATGGGTGGTAGTGGTGGAGACAAGTGGCAATGCTGGGAGGAGGGTGGTGGTGGAGACAAGGGGCAATGCTTGGAGGTGGGTGGTGGTGGGTGGAGACAAGAGGCAATGCTGGGAGGAGGGTGGTGGTGGTGGACACAAGGGACAATGCTGGGAGGTGGGTGGTGGAGACAAGGGGCAATACTGGGAGGTGGGTGGTGGAGACAAGGGGCAATGCTGGAAGGTGGGTGGTGGTGGTGGAGACAAGGGGCAATGCTGGGAGGAGGGTGGTGGTGGTGGAGACAAACTGCAATGCTGGGAGGAGGATGGTGGTGGAGATAAGGGGCGATGCTGGGAGGTGGGTGGTGGTGGAGACGAGGGGCGATTCTGGGAGGTGGGTGGTGGAGACAAGGGGCAATGCTGGGACGTGGGTGGTGGTGGTGGAGACAAGGGACAATGCTGGGAGGTTGGTGGTGGTTGAGGAGACAAGGGGCAGTGCTGGGAGGTGAGTGGTGGAGACAAGGGGCAATGGTGGAAGGTGGGTGGGTGGTGGTGGAGACAAGAGGCAATGCTGGGAGGAGGGTGGTGGTGGAGACAAGGGGCAATGCTGGGAGGTGGGTGGTGGAGACAAGGGGCAATGCTGGGAGGTGGGTGGTGGAGACAAGGGGCAATGCTGGGAGGTGGGTGGTGGCGGTGGAGACAAGGGGCAATGCTGGGAGGAGGGTGGTGGTGGTGGAGACAAGAGGCAATGCTGGGAGGAGGGTGGTGGTGGAAACAAGAAGCTATGCTTTGAGAAGGGTGGTGGTGGTGGAGACAAGAGGCAATGCTGGGAGAAGGGTGGTGATGGAGACAGGGGCGATGCTGGGAGGTGGGTGGTGGAGACAAGGGGCGATGCTGGGAGGTGGGTGGTGGCGGTGGAGACAAGGGGCAATGCTGGGAGGAGGGTGGTGGTGGTGGAGACAAGAGGCAATGCTGGGAGGAGGGTGGTGGTGGTGGAGACAAGAGGCAATGCTGGGAGGAGGGTGGTGGTGGAGACAAGAAGCTATGCTGTGAGAAGAGTGGTGGTGGTGGAGACAAGAGGCAATGCTGGGAGGAGGGTGGTGGAGACAAGAGGCAATGCTGGGAGGAGGGTGGTGGTGGAGACAAGGGGCAATGCTGGGAGGTGGGTGGTGGAGACAAGGGGCAATGCTGGGAGGTGGGTGGTGGCGGTGGAGACAAGAGGCAATGCTGGGAGGAGGGTGGTGGAGACAAGAGGCAATGCTGGGAGGAGGGTGGTGGTGGAGACAAGAGGCAATGCTGGGAGAAGGGTGGTGGTGGATACAAGGGGCAATGCTGGGAGGTGGGTGGTGGCGGTGGAGACAAGGGGCAATGCTGGGAGGAGGGTGGTGGTGGAGACAAGAGGCAATGCTGGGAGGAGGGTGGTGGTGGAGACAAGAAGCTATGCTGTGAGAAGGGTGGTGGTGGTGGAGACAAGAGGCAATGCTGGGAGGAGGGTGGTGGTGGTGGAGACAAGGGGCAATGCTGGGAGGTGAGTGGTGGAGACAAGGGGCAATGCTGGGAGGTGGGTGGTGGTGGTGGTGGAGACAAGGGGCAGTGCTGGGAGGTAGGTAAGGGACAGAAACAAGGGTGACCAGAAGGGGATGAGAAGTACCTGCACTTATTTTCTGCCACACATATAGTTAGAAATAGCGCATTGCACAGCCTCCCAGAGTATAGGAAAGCCCTGTAATGTACCCAGTGATCCCCACATTTTGTATCTAGAAAGCTTTAGGTGATTTATCTTACTCTTCTAGTGACGGGAAGCCATCAGAGCTAAATAAGCCACTAGAGAGCCGGTGTCTGGAGAACAAATGACTCCACTAGGCCTGCTAACTGGATTACAGACAAGTGTATGACAGCCACATGCAAAGCTGTATGAAACGTACCCTCTGCTTGGCAGAGCATCTGAAGCCACTAGCAAGCTGGTATCTGCAGGACTTGCAACTCCACAAATGTGTAGAACAGTTACATATTAGGGTGGGCAACACCATATTAACCCCTGCATGACGGAAGGCAAAACAAATCCTAACATGTAAAACCAGGTTTTTGCAACTCGGACATGTTAGTAAAACTGTAAATATAATTGCAACTACTTTGTATTATCAGGTGAATTATTCCTTGTTTTTTCAG